GTAACTGATAATTGATAATTGTCTGCTCAAATATATAAAAATGACAAAATGACAAATATAAAAATGACAAAAATCAATACTTTAATTTTTACTTTTTCAACAAGCTTTCTTTAATATGATGATATAATATGTAATAATATTCTATTTAGAAAAAATGGATCTTCGTATGTGAATATCAAACGAATAAAATAATGGTAATATAAATTAGTGTTTTCAGCCTAAATTTAACAATTTTTAATAATGACCATAATTTTTCAAATAATATTCTACATCTCCAGAAAAAAACAGAATTAAAAATTGTTGGTTTCAAAGATTTTTTTTCAATTTTTTTTTTTCAAAAAAAAATTTTTTTTGTATATCGAAAATAAATCAGATCTTATTTTTAATTCTGACTAAAGTTCTAATATACTTTAAACAAAATATTTCAACTTTGCGATTCAGTTTAGATAATTCTTATAAATATTAGACAATGTTACTATATTTATAATCATCTATTTGAAAACATTCAGTATTCCTCGAACATTTCGTTACGGTACGGAAAGTTCCAGCAGTTTGCCTTAATCACGATGCCATACACCCCACTAGTTTTTGAAAAATTTTGGATTCTTTTGAATGCAGAAAAAAACAAATACGTAATACCTTACTGGCCTAACACCCCCCCCCCCTCCCTTAAGTTTCATATGATGAATAGATGCTCCAAAAGCAACTTTCACTTAAAATCATATTTATATCTCATATTTTCGAGTGAAAACTAATACCACTACTGCTTGATATTTACAAAAAAGTAGATTGTTTTGATTTTCACTGAGCCCAAAAAGCTGACACAATCACTGGATCCGGGTCAGTCTTTCGATTTTCCTAGCTCTGTGTCAGTCTTTCGAATTACCGTCTTGAAATTTCACTTTCAAAGATTGGGAAACATCGATTCCGCGTCGAAACCGATTGTTGTATTATATAACATCGCCGGTCCCGAATCGTAGATATTATTATTCATTGTCTTTGGTGTCTCAGGTGTCCGTCAGCGACTGATCCTGTTGTCACGCGCTCCATCATGCCGTGATAACATTATCAAATGCAAGTCACGGCGCGTTGCACAAGCGGACGAGCGCTCGCTCTACGGACCGATCGAAATTACTTTGCGGTCGGACGAAATTCTTTGCGACGTCTTTGTTTTCGAAACTTTATTGAAACGAAAGTATTACAGAATAATACATTTACAATTGTTATGTTTGCCGATAATTGAATAACGCAAGGAGAGAATAATCATGATAGATTGAAAATAATCAAAATAATAGATTATTGTAATTGATTCAGAGGTCCCGGATTCGATACCCACTTCGAGCAGCCTGTTGTCAATCAACAGTGACAACGATTTGGAAGTATAGATAGAAACATGTTTCCAAGTGAAAATAGCCCTCCCTTGGCATTGCTGCACCAATAAAAATATTTGCCCTTTTACAGAAATTGTAACAATAATATATCATACAGAGATGTGACAACTATTTGGGTTGCCATCTATCAAACAGACTAGTATTAAGTCAAATCAGCGCAACAGCTTATAAAACTATTGGGCTCTGACAGCTCCTCAAAAATAACAAAACGACAAAATATGTATATGTAGACTGTTAACTAAGTAGATAACTTTATTAACTTTCCGTAGGGTAAGTTACAGTAATCGCAAAAAAATCGAAAATGAAAATTTTTATATATCTTTACGTTTCAGAGGTTTCTGAATATTTTGGCATACCTTAAATAAAATGGATGTATGTGTGTGTGTGTGTTTGTGTGCGGATACAAATTTTCGTCGACGATTTCAAGAACACGGATGAAGCGATTTGAATAATTCAATAAACATTCGATTTGTATTGATAAGGAGACGTATTGTTTAGTTTTTGGCGAAGGCAGGTTTAGCCGTTCCGAAGATATGGGGCAAAAAGTGCCAAAAACAGTAACTCAGTTTTTAGGAGAACGGATCGTCCGATTTGAATAATTCAAAAAACATTTTACTTGTATTAACAAAATGAAGAACTGATCAAATTTTCATGAAGACAAGTCTAGCGGTTTTGGAGATCTAGTGAAAAAATTAAAAAAAATAGCGATCAAAAATGATCATTAGACATATGCACATCAAATTATCAGATATTTTATAGACATTTTAACAATAAGTATAAATTTTATCAAAAGTTTATAGTTTATCGAAAATCTAATTTTTCAGAGTAAATTTTTTTCAAAAATGTTAATCTTTTTGAAAAAAAAAAAAATTGGTACGGGAAGTTCCAGCAATTTGCCTTAAGGCACGATGCCATGCGCCCCACTAGTTCTGTGATGCATTGCCCACTTTGATCAATGACTTTTTGTCATTCTTCAAGCAGCATTATCATCTCACTTTTATCAAACTTCTGGTTTTTATTAGCAAAAAACTGAATCAAGTACAATTTGACGACACCATGATATTCATGAAAGTATTTACAATTCAAAAATTTCTATAAAGATCGGAACAGAAAGTAATCAAAATGTGCAAAGTCAAGACTATATAGAGGATGTGGCAATTTATCCCAATTAACTTTCAGGATTCAGATTCAGGACGACCAGAGCAATTTTTATTTTTGATTGAAAAATTACCAGAACGCAATATATATATATATATATATATATATATATATATATATATATATATAGAATAAAATAGATAATTCATATCAGTTTGCATTTTTAATTAGTTTAATCCATCCTTCAGAATTTGCATAAAATAATGAAACGTTTTCTAACATATCGTTGATGCGTTCAACTTATAATCCTCTCATTAGAACTTCGTTGAACCCTGACTAATTAATCATTGAAATCATTATGAAAGCGTCTATTTTTTTTGTTCTCGTCATGAAACTTTGCAGACATTGTCTGCTCAGCTTGCTGCTAAGAATAACAAATAATATATACATTTATCTTTCTTTTGCTTCTTCTTTAATAGAATATTACATGAAGACACTCCAGATGTAATTTCGCGCTGCATAGTTTTATCTCAGAATGTCTTATAGTTTAAATCGCGTTTAATTAAATGTTGTACAAACAGCAATAGTTGTACAAATATTCTTCCTTGCATGCCGATTGCACTGCGACGCCTAAATTAATATTAAACACTTTCGACTGTTTTAAATAATAACTCTTCAACTTGGTCTCATTAGATTTTCTAGGGTTTGTTCTACAAAGAGGATATTAAAAGAATTTAATTTAGAGAAATTTCATTTAGTAGTACGTCGATAATACTATGACAGAGGTAAAAAACTAATAGCACGTGCATTTTACCATACTGCATATATACGTAACGTTTCAGCAATACAATTGCAATCAAACGCATTTCTAATTCGCTTTTATAATATTAGAATGCTCTAGCACTAATTCATTATAAATATTTCATTTTTACTATATTAAAATATGCATATAAAGATTGGCCAAATATATTTTCAAAACAAAACCAATGGAAAGAAAAATAAGATCACTGTTCTGGCTTATTAATGGCAAATCTAAATTATCATTAGAAAACAAAATTCTACTTTATAAAGCGACAATAAAACCGGTTTGGACTTATGGCGTAGAGTAGTGGGGCTGCGCCAGTAAATCAAGAGTTTCACCTACCCAAAGGAAACAGTCTAAAATTTTAAGGTGTATTGCAAATGCACCTTGGTATGTCAGCAACCGAATACTACATAACGATCTAAGAATCGATACTATCCAGGAGGTAGTGAAAAACAGAAATGGTATTCATCACGACAAGATCATCAACCGCAATAACCCCACATTAATTCCCGTATTACAAGCATCACATATTAGATTGAAGAAGAAGCATCCCTTCGATCTAATGCATTAAAATGGAGTAGCCTACTAGGGTGATCTCCGTCATGTCATATATATAGAACTCCAGTACTGTTACTGGAGTTTTAATAATCAACACAATATCTTATAGAAATTTTTCTATGATTGCTATTTAATTATTGTAAAAAAAATATTTTAATATATTTAAGCCTCACCACGCAAACATCTATTAGCAACTCGGGGCTTCATTCTGACAAAAACGTACCTACTTGATATTATTGTGTAAGTTCTGCAATTTGTTCTATATGAATTTGAGGACATAGAAAAACATGCATTTACAATAACATCTCAATTTATTTTCTGCAGTATGTTAAAGCTAAAAGCAATTTCCAAAAGGTATGACGGGTCAATTCCAGGGTCTTTATAATTAATTAGCGTTGGGACAGTTTTTGTTGTTATTCTACAGAAAAGTGTAACATATTGTTTTTTTTTACGTCTCAGTCTTTTTTGATAAAAACTTTGCGTTGCGAATTTCTCGGTCAATTTACCATATTTAAAAAAAATTATATAAGAAAAAAAGCGTAAAAATACTTTGGAAATAACTAATAGTAAATTTAGAAAAGAAAACACTGTCCATCACAGCACTGATTTATTTTAAGAATGAGCAACCTTTTGAACTCACGGGCCACATTTATATTTTGAAATTTTATGGCGAGCTACATTTAATAATTTACAAAGATTTATATATACTAAGAAAAGAATACATTATAATTTATTTATGGGAGACAGTTGAGAAATTCTATTTAGAAATGCTTGCCAGGTCGCAGAATAGTTAAAAGGTCGCAACCAGCCCGCGGGCCGCAGGTTGCTTATCCTTGATTTTTGACAACCACTTATTATTATTATTGATGCCTGGAGACAAATCCATAATATGAGTAAAATATCTGACTTACCTCTTTTTCCATCCTTATTTAAATTTCACCTATTACTTTTTACATATCGACTTCTGTGCTGCTTCCATGTGTTGCATCCCAGATTTCAGTTCCCTGTATTAAAAATAATTTGTAGTAACTATACAATAATCAAATATATGTGTGTATATATATTATATATATATATATATATATATATATATATAAATTTACATTATATTTGCAACCAAAATATTAATAATATTTTCCTATTTTCAGATAGATTCGGCGGAGATCCGGATGTCGAACGAAGTAAGTACTCTTTTACCGTTTAATAGTTTTAACACGATGAAGAATTCTTTCATGTCACTATGAGTATTTCACGGCATATCATAAAGAACAAAATTTAATACTATTTTAACGCTGTGCGCGTTATATCAAAAGAAAATGAATCCGGAACGTTGCAATTTCATGACGTCGCCCAAGGGAGAAAACAGAATTGCAACCAATAATAAAAATTGTATTTTGAGTGATAAAGGAATTAAGCTCCTTGAATAAATTCTTCTAGGAAAACAAGTTTTTAGAACAAATTAGGAACATCATTTAAATCAGATACATATGGTTGTTGTGTCGATATTTAGTCACTAATCTTTTTCTCCAAGGCCTGGACCACCTTTTTTGATTTTTTTTTAAATGATTTGTTTTAAATTCTGATCTGGTTATCATATTTATTAAAATTAATCATTACACCGTTGATAGAGTAAAATTTACTGGTTCTTAAAATAATATATTTTTTTATTCCAAACAATTCTAAATTTTCATCTAACAAAAGTTAAGATAAAGCATACAAATCCTTTCAAACAAAATACTTGTATTTATAAATAAAAAAAATATTTGTGAAACCAAGACTTGAGTGAAACCCTTAATGGTAATGTAAGACTAAACAAATAAATAGGAATTTGTATGATTTTTCAATATATATGAAGGTTGCAATACTCATCCGAAACGGTTTGACCGATTTTTATGAAACATCTATTTTTCGTAACTAAAAGTGGTAAGGGTTGGCCACAAGTAAAATATTTTTTAGGTTTTGGACCGATTTCTTTTATTTTACATTTTATAATTTGTGATTAAAAACACATAAAAAGCACTTAAACTATCACCCTCCTGCCACAAACCCCAATTTTGTAATATTTCGGCATTTTAGTGATCAGATAACTTTTATTTTTGCTCTCAGATAATAAATATTTTACTGAATTTTGATTAAAATGTTCGAAAAAACGAAAACTTAACTTAAAAATCTTGATTTAAATTAAGGTTTGTCTACCCTACCCTAGCTAGAACTTTCAGAGAATTGTTTTTTTATCAAATTGGAACCATTTGAGCCCTTGGGAGCAAGGAAATTCGAAGATGTCCATATTAAGGACCACCCTAATATATATATATATATATATATATATATATATACATATATATATATATATTTGAATATATGTATTATCCTCATATGTTACTTTTACCGAACAACACGTATTCAGAACGTCGCAAAATGCAATAAAAATATCTGTGCCACAATAACCAAAGAAAATATTTATTTGAAGATATCGATAAAATTGTATTATCATATCCAAATAAATGAATTCTTTATTTCAAGATAATATTGTTCGAAACTTTCAGATACTCTCGAATTCATAACATTTCTTGTTTTGAATATTGTAATCAAATCTAAAGAACACATCTCGTTCGCATTTTGCAAATTGTTACGAATACAATATCCACATAACCCATATTTGTGTCAGAAATATTTACGTAATATGTATTCTCTTTTAAAATGCTATCATCGCAAAACTCGAATACCTTGACCTTCTTCCTTTTCGAGGTCGAAGAATTATATATCATACTTTTGATATCAATTAATTGTAAAGCCTTATAATAGATCGAATTTTTGTAATTTTTGGAATGTAATCATTGAACGTTTTAATTATTTTTAACGCCTAAATCACTTCAGTCAATCAATCATAAAGTATTCTGCATACTTCATTAAATTATACATGGCATAATTATCGCCCTAATTGCAAATTGCGATGTTAGTCATTAATAAATTCCTATAATTAATAAATTTTAAACTTATGATTTATTTGATAAAAAAAATGGGTTCGCTCATAGGTAAGCGGCTAGAACAACTGGTCCTGAATCAGGTGCCCTCATCCGGCATTGCTGAACCAATAAAAAATATTTGCCCTGTTACAGAAATTGTAATACTAATATATCATACAGAGATGAGACAAGTATTAAGTCCAATTAGCAGGTTATAGGACTATAAAGATCTGATTGCTGTTCAAAAAAAATAAAATAAAATTAAGTATGATAAAGATCATACATTTTAATTAAATAAGCATAAAATCTGTACCGTCATCATACAAATAAAAATTGAAACAAAACTCTTCATAATAATTTTTCCTATAACGCGGTGAGTGCGTGTCATGTAATATAAAAACCGTGCTATAAGAAACACAGAATTAACATACGACCAGGACTAATTCTAAGCGTTGTATGCAAACCGGTTATTGCGTTGTATGAATACCGCGTTTTCAAAAACTCAGAATTAGTATAAATCGCATCATTTGTACAGCGTTATACAGAACCGAATAATAAATACACCTATACCCCCGTTTTATACCGAAGAAACGTTACATAGAACACCGCGTTACTCGAAAAATTCAATTTTACTACAAGAAAAAACCGTGTTAAACGAAAATCACTATTAAAAAGCCGTTTTTGTTTTTAATATGATGCCTGATGAACAATAACTATTAATATCAAACACATATAAAAAATATATGAATATTAATTTATTTCAATAATAAAACAATAATAAAAAGAATTATTTTAAATATTGCTTTTTCTTTATAGATAAGAATTAAAATTAGAAATTTATTTTGCTATCATTGTATATAAAAACTAAAAACAAAGTTTGAAAACAATGAAAATATTAGTTTTGGTATTTCAAACAAACTGGCTTTTATAAACAAACAATATGAGTATTTAATAAAATATTTTTCAATGAATTGAAGAGTTAAGTTCATATAAAAAAAATAAAACAAAAGATGAACTAAAAAACTTATCCAACAAAAAAATTCAAGCTGAATTTTTTTTTAGAAACAGTATTCTGTATAAGAGTTTAGATACTACTAAAAGCAATGTCGTACACAGCTATTATATAAACTGGCACGTTCATATAAAAATATTGTAAAACATAAAATAGTCAATAAAAGAACTTACTATTTGAACATCTTACAACAATATTAGTTACTAAAGTCATTAATTAGTAATATTTGAGATCTATAATCTGAAGTAGACATTTGATATAGTGCTTGATATCGTGTTGGCCGAAGTTGGAAGTTTTATGGGTTGTTGAGCAAAAATCGCGTTATACGAATACGTGTTATAGGAGGGCCGCCTCGTACCCAGAACTCCGCGATATAGGAGGGGTGACTCGATTAGCATTAGTATTACTCAAGTTACACCAGAAGCATAGGGCTCAGTATAAAAATTAGTTTGGGGCGCCCCCTTAGGAATGGAAAAGATTTATCACAAATTAGAAAGAAATATTGAATATATCAACCCTTTCCACTCGGATGCCGCTTCAGAATTTGCAAGTGGAAAGGGTTAAACATTATAATAATCTATTTGTCTAATTTTCTAAAAAAATATGAATAACGTAAATTAAATATACACTATTTGCCTGAATAATTGGATCATCACATTTATAGCTGACTGTAACTAAGAATTTTCTAAAATTTTTGTCTCCATGGAAAATGGGAAATTTTTAATAATTTTTGCTTTTGCATGATGGGGGCTTTTACGGTCTGGGGGAGCCTTGTAAAAAATGGCGCGTAGAAGCCGCACTCACAAAAATACACAAGCGATTTTTTTGGCAAACTAAATAAATAATTATAAATTGAATCATCACATTTAAAGCTGACTATAACTAAGAATTTTGTAATTTTTTTGTCTGCAAGGAAAACTTGGAAAGTGTTTACTAATTTGTCCTAACGCAAGTTGGGGCGTCCATTAATCACCTGAGGTTCTTATGGAGAGGGAGGATTGACAAAAAATCACGAAATATCACATGGGGAGGAAAGGGTATAGTAAAATATCACGTGTATTTATTTTCTACCTGAATTGTTTTTAAAAAAATCTAAACATTTAAAAAAAAATCAAAATTGCGATTTTTTCTCGTAACTAAAAATACACGTAATGTTTGCCGGGGGATGGGGGTAATTTTGAATATCACCACGTATCACCAAGTGGAAGATGGGGGTCTAAATATTATAAAAAAATTGATCATG